GTTTTCTTTTATTCCTTCTCTTCCTTTTAGATTTCATTTAATCTCTTATAATAATAATTTATTGTAAGATTTTTTTGTTGTACAAAAAGAATCAGTGAACAATGTCATGATGCCATTTCTGACCTTAGGTCTCTGGTCGGAAAGAAATGTGCATACAACAGTCACCAAAGGAAATAATAATAATAATAATAATAATAATAATAATAATAAAGTGTCTCCTTATTGATATGGCAGTCCCTGCTGACTGCAATGTATCTTTGAAGATATTCAAAAAGTTGACAAAATACAAGGACCTTGAAATAGAAATCTCAAAAATGTGGCATATGGGAACATCAACAATCCCTGTTGTAGTTGGAGCCCTAGGACTGGTTGGAAAAGATTGCAGTAGACTAATTGAAGGGATTCCTGGAAGTCCATGCCCAAAGAGATACAAAAAATTGTTCTCACAAGTACAGCCCACACTTTACGAAGGGTTTCATCAATGTAATTTTTTTTTTGTCAGTGGAAAGTGTCATGATGCCATTTCTAACCTTAGGTCCCTGGGCGAGACCCGGAAAGAAATGTGTAAACGCCAGATATGAAAGGAAATAAAAATAATAATAATAATAATAATAAAGGCAAGAAATTCAAGAAGTGTATGCTTATTGACATAACCGTACCATCTGAGAGAAACACCTCGATAAAAAATTATCGAAAAATTGTCCAAATACAAGAACCTGGAGATCGAGATGAACAGGATGTGGGGAATAAAGACTGAGACTGTCGTACCAATAGTAATCGTAGTCCTAGGCTTCGTGAGAAAAGGAATGGACAATTTTACTAACAGTATACCAGGTAACATCACCATACATGTTGCCCAGAGGATCGCCCTACTAGGAACATCCCATATACTAAGAAAAGTGCTATCAATTAAATGACAATTCTCCTATAGGGCCGAAGGACCATAGTCTGGACCCAGATCTACAGGATACAAAGCAGAAAACATAACATACACAAAAAAATAATAACAGTAATAATAATAACAGATTGATTACATAAAGCTTAATATATATATATATATACCTCTGGGTTGAAGTTGCTAGAATGTAGGACGCTCACATGACTATTGTCCTAGTTATCATTTAGGCCTTGGGGCCTGTAGCACCGAATTTGAAGTCTTACATTAAAAAATCTAAATAACGCCTAGTATCGACGTCGCTTCAGAAGTTTGCATTGCTTTGTACTGCAAATATGCCGTGAAAGGTACAACTATCTGGAGTACGAGGCTGATAGAGAGCACCCACAATGCAAGATCTTCGGGACAAAAAACAAACAAACAAAAACCGTGCGAATAATAATAATAAGAAGAAGATTATTATGATACCACCATGTGTGATTTTTCTATCAACACATATCGAACTGTTCTAGAAAATCACAAAAACAGAAAAGGTTTGCACAGTGATTGACATGTGTCAAAATCATTTCTGTTTTTGAAAAACTAAGTTAATAAAAATAAATTATGTCTATATGTCTGAGACAAGGTATTGTAACTATTTACATTGTTCGGGCTGTTTTCTTCATCTTTGTTGCCATATTTACGACGATTCGGCTGTTGTACACTCCGGCCTTCTACAGAATCTGCCTATATGTCTGAGACGAGATATTGTAACTCTATACGCTATTTACGTACTTCGGGCTAGTCTTCGTTGCCATATTTACGACGTTTCGGCCGTTATACGCTCTGAGCTTCTTCAGGTGATATTTCTTGGAATTTCGAATTGAACCCTTTTAGTCCACAGAGGTAGATTACTCTAATTCCAAGTGCCATACCTTTGGGTATTTATGTTTTAGTTAATTCCCTTTGATACATCTCCTATTTTTATTTTGTTCCCTCTGCTGTAGTTAGGGTTAGAGCAGGGTTACTCACAACTCTTTGGGTCAAGTCACTTTTTGGATCAGTCAACCAACGCTTTTTTATTCACTGGGCCATGAGTGAATTTTTGGGGTGACATTTTTATGGCTCTGTGGATAAAAGCGTTTGTTGAGTAATAAAAAAAAAATGTGATTTGACCAAAAGAGTTATGAGTTCGATACCTGGGAGAGTTGTTATCACTTAAACTGTGACATCCAAAATCATGGCACATGGAATTATGATACAGAACTGTACTGGTAATGATACAGTATATTGAACCATGACATACAGAAGGAGCTGGGACACTTCCACGTTGTGTAATGATTAGCAATCTAGTCACGCTAGATCGATTACAACTGAATAGTCGGTTCTCCATACTTTTGGCCCTGTGCCAAACCTAAGCAACGTTATGCACATCTCCATATAGTGGAAGCTGCTACAATCGCACACGTGATTGATAATGATACAATATATAAGATGTGATGTTTAAATAATGTAAGTCGACCTGCAGAGCGCATGTGCGAACCACGTGGTATACATTGACCAATGGTGGTTACATCCGTTCAATTGGCTGGTTCAGAAATGGAGCAACGCATCAAATTGAAGGACTTTGAATAGAAAGGAGATGGTATCATTTCGTAATGTTAACTGAAGCTCATTAGGAAGAAAGGGCGTATTAGTGTAGTACAAGAGATTTTGTTAATGATCTCGATGAAAAGGAACGCTGTGGAGACCCATGTCAAGAAGAGGTGAGAATGTTCAAAAGTTCATGCAGGTTGTTCGTATCGTATCAGAAATGATTTCGATAGGCGTTTTGTTAAAAAAAAAAAAGCCTTAAAATATTTTCAGAAAACTCTTATTTTAAGCGATGCATAACAGCAAACAGATAATCATCACCATCAGACCCACGACTGTTTCAATCATCAGGGCGGGGAGCTAAGGTCAGAAGAAACAGACTTTGATTCCTCTTCCACACGAACATTTCAGTGGACTTTCAAATAGCTTGGCGGCGCCCATCTCTTCAAGCTCTTGACTGAGGACCACGGAGTATGGTGTGGGTCGCCCTCGACCCATAGACTAGGCCCTCAGATTTTGAATTCCTTTTTCCTTCTCCTAAGGTTGCCACCCATGGCTATGGGACCCAGTCTGTTCTGCTATTTAACCATAGCTGAGAAGAGATGGATTCAGAGCTTTCCCAAGGGTATTAGCACGTAGGTGCATGTAATGAACTTGACTGAAATTCGAACTCGGCACTCCGATTTCTTTAGTCTGAACCACTATTCACCGTAACCCCAAACTGATGAAAGTTTAGAATAAAGTATCACTAATTTTTGATAAGGCGTTATTTTAACAGCGGACTCATTTTTCATCTTCATGTTTTAAAATGTTTTATACAACGCGTGGTTACACTTAATAAATATACATTGTTAATATTTATAGAGATCTGAGAAAAGAATTGTGTCTGATCTTTAGAGAATATTGTTTGAAGATAAAGGAAATTTATGTTTTGAACTGAGAACTCTTTTTTTAATGGTCATTTTAATGTATAATTAGAAACAAGCCTGAATTTCTAGTTTATTGACAAATATCACACTTGAAGCGGTTCATTGAAGATTGTATAATAAATTCACGTGCATCGAACAGTTAAGTGTTTTTAATCCAACAATTGATTTTAACCCACCGATAATATCTGGGGCGTCAGTAAGAAGGATTCAACAGTGCAAATTTAAATTTAGAGTGATTTAAATTTTTACAATAACTCTAGAACCTTTTCGAATGTTCTGACGAAGCATTTTTCCCCGGTACCTCGACTGAATGAATTTAAACGTGCCACTGGGTTGGCATTTAGGTCTCACTCGTTTAATGATGAAATAGTTAAATGCAACCGCTACTTCTACTCCAACAGTTTCTTTTCTCACACTTTCCGCTTGTGGAACTCCTTTCCGTTTATTTGCTTCCCTGATAACAATGTTCAAAAATTCAAATGCAATGTCAATCGCCATCTTCGATCTTATTGAATCTCGTTCATCTTTTATTTCTTTCCTCACCCCACCCCCCGCCCTCTATACCCAGTTTTCTTTCATTTTCACTCTCTGTGACCCAATGCGTACTAGTGGCATTCTCGTCTTGCGTGGGGTGAAATGATTTTAAAAAAATCTAACTTTGTTTTCCAAGCCGGGATTGTTATCAGTCAAAATCAGCTCAAACCCCTTGAAGTCCCTTCCTTCCCGCCAGGCAATGCCTGTCTTCCGGGATGGCACTGGGGTCATTAACCGGTGTCTGAGGCGTCGACCAAAAAGGGGAAGTTATCGAGGGAGTTTGAGCAATCTTTCTACGGCTTCGTTGTTAGCTGACATTAAAACTTCCACCTTTTGTTACACTTTGTGGTGAGGTGGGCGAACGGATAAATACCAACCCTGAAACCTTTTCGTGCTGTGAATTATTTATAGATTCCTTAACGAGAGTCTGTGTCAAACCCAGCACAGACCGGTAACAAATGGTCATTGTAAATGTCGGGTTAATTGCAGAGGACGGACATTTACACCATTGTAGTTCTGTGGTACAACAGCGAATGACGGACATTTCCAAAGCAGTCAATAAATTAGCTCCCATTGTAGAATATAAGACTAACAACCGAAAGAAAACAGAACCGTATCTCAAACCCCCGTTAATAATGTGGTACATTGTCGCATTATTAATACCTAGGGTTTTCAAACACGCCATATCACTCGGAGACTTCCAACAGTAGTAACACTTAAAATTGTTAGCACATGTATGTAGATTGATTGATTGTTTTTCTACGGTCTATCAACCTGTTGCAGGTTATTTAAAGCCAGGAAATATTTTTAGATTCTAAGGATTTTTTTGTGGTAATAATGATTAACTGATACAAATCCTACTAATTAACCCATAGCTGGGGGAGAAGAGGTGGATTCATGACTTTCTCAAGAGTATTTGCGCATAAGTGTATATAACGAACCCAACTGGAACTCTCTAGTTCTTAATTCCGATCTATTACACTATCCACATATCCAAGCTTACAGCACGGGATATTACCAAGTGGTATGTGATATGACCGTAAGTCGATTACACCACCTGCTCATCTAAGCTTACAGCACCTGGTATTACCAAGCGGTCCCCCATCTAGCTACTGACCAGGTCCGACGTTGCTTAACTTCGATGATCGTACGAGCACCGGTTTTTCAATGTGATATGACCGTAAGTCGATTACACCACCCTCACATCCAAGCATACAGCACTTGGAATATTCTGCCATTGTTAAATGGAACACGTCTCAGTTAACTCACTACTACACACGTTAAACGTTGAAGATAGACTAGCCAAAAATGTACACGAATGACAAATGTAACCCAGTCTACATAGCAACACAGCGCCATCTACCGTAAACTTTCTTCAAAGTTAATAACTCAAAAGCGAAAAATTTGCGGACATATGTTTATATGGACTTTTGTCCTTGTTTTGGTGTAAGGAACCCACCATCAAAGTTTGTAAAAGTATTTTTGATACACCCACCTCTCTCTCTCTCTCTCTCTCTCTCTCTCTCTATATATATATATATATATATATATATATATATATATATAATATCTGTATATATATTTGATACACCCTGTATACTCGTGTATAATACGAGTTTTTATGTTCGGTTCTTTACGCCAAAATAGGCAGTCGCATTATACACAGATATTATTTTTTAATAGGTTAAAATCATGCATTTTCGGTAACCAGTTGCACTTTACACAGGTATTTTGTCCGAATGAGGATTAAAATTCTTGCCTCAAAAGCAGGGATTGCACTATACATTAAGTCGACTTATAAACGAGTATATACGGCAATTAAAAAAATTATATGTTTAAAAACTTCAAATATACAAATATAGATTTCATTTTATTTTCGTATCATATTAAAAATGAATTTATGAAGACATTGCAAAGAAGATACAGAAATTGCATTCAAAGAATTTTTGACATCCAAATTTACTGATTCCAACTGAATGAAATACGCATTCAATTAAAGAAAATGCTTCTAGTCTTGATTAATCTACTACGCCAAAGTCTTCTTCATGTCAATGCTCGGTTATATGTTGCCAGGATGACATTGAAGATGCTTATCGACGTTTGATGAGAGACTTGGATACATCCACCATATTCCCTTGCTCTATCTCCCACTCGCTACCGTCTTTTCAAGCATCTTGACAAATTCTTAAGCCAAAAAAAGCATCCAATTGCAAAGAAGATACAGAAATTGCATTCCAAGATCTCTTGGTGTCCAAACATTTAGAGATTTATTTAACATTGTAACTCGATATTCAGTATTCCTCTTTTGACTGATTTAAACGCTGTTTATATACATTAATTCAGAGATAAAAGTTGATTCGGAAATCGGAGATTACTTACTGAACGATCTATAATGTGCGTTTATACCATATTAATACGCTGCATAAAAGGGTACGCAAGTTGAACAGATTCATCGATCCATTTATCAATCAACTTATTTAGAGTTTTGTCACATCTCACAGGATTTTTCGAACATCTCTTAAAATCATTCCTCCAGCAGCCTCGTTTCCACAGATGCAACGTCACCCACTTGTTACTCTATCGAAATTTCCATCGCAAATGTTCGGACAGACCTTTTTCTTTAATTTCACCCGTTCAGAGTTTTACAGCCATGACCCACATTGCTAAGTCCACAGAATTAAATCGTCCTCATTCCGAATATATTAATTTGTTTTGAAATGCCTGCCTCACCCCAAAATCTTATTTCCAAGATCCACTACTTTACAGAACAGACTCCTGCGTGGTTGCTTCCCTGAACACTAAAATCTTAATCTTTTCAATTCTAATGTCAATCGTTATCTATCCGCTATACCCTCCTATACCCTTCACGCACTACTTCCTACTCTTACATTCATAATACACATCTTATTCTGCAACCCTCTACCTTGAGTGTCTCTTGGGCCTAGTATTGAGTGAACATTAAAAGAAATAAAAAAAATTAAAAGCATGACTTTTCTTCGACTGTTTTTTTACGTTCTAAGCAATGAACAATAAGGTTACTGCAATCATGGCAAACGTTTCGATCACGTTTACAATCCCTTCGTCCTTTTTCATTCATGTGCTTGTAATTCACAAAGATTAGCATTTAAAACAGAATCTCCTTGTAGTGTCTTGACAGATGTATTCAGAAAGTCATTTGACGAATCATGAAGGTCTGACTTGACACTTGCTATATATTAAGGGAAAATATTTTGTGGGGGTGCTTAAACACTCCATGCTGTTGATGAGTGTGAGAGTGGCGGATGAGAGGACTTCTCACTTACTGGATCTGGAATCCGAACCACCGGACAACCCTAAAACATCACACAACAAGCGTCTCAAATGTCCTTCCCACTTCTTTTAAAGTTGTTTATCTTGTATAAAAAACACGAAATGTCCCTGTTAACCCTCCGTGAGTACTGTGGATTCATTTTCAGTGCATAATACCGTAGCGTATTCAGACACACCCTTTAACATTAAAGGTATATCACTTAAAACTTATTCTTGTTATACAGGGTGAGGCAAAACCTTTCTTTCGATCTGAGGTGGATAGGACGACGTGGAGCAACTAAATGGCCATCACGATCACCGGAATCGACACCACCAAACATTTTCTTGTGGGTTTTACTTGTTTACAGGCTAAAACTGAAAACAATTTCTGAATTAAAACAAGCAATTTCTGATAGATTGTTCTCAGATTAATGTAGAAATGTATCAAATGGTTTGTAAAAGTATTGCTAATTCCTATTGAACGTTGTATTGAACATGAAGGAGAGCATTTTGAAGATGTTAAACAGTTTTTTTTTAATCCTAACAATCCATGTTTATTCATGTGACAATATTTATAAATTTTCTTAAACTACTGTAATTTATTTTTGTTCAGTAAAAGTTAAATAAAAATGCGTTACTTTTTCCTCGCCCCGTATATTGTCTTAAGTCTTCTTTGCCGTTTTTATAGGTTAAATAAAAAATGAAAAAAAGCAGGTTTTATTTTTAAAAACTGAATTAAAAAAAATAATTTCTATCGTATGTGACCATAATGGCAAAATAGTTAAACTATATTGAGAGAAAATTGCAAGTTATTTACAGAGCTAACTAAACACTACATCATTGTCTAGATAGGTGGCAGGGTATTCTTGGTGATGCTTATCGGAAACATCGAACATAAAACGAAGTGGAGAAAGAGCAAAAGGTATACGAAAATATAATATATATATATATATATATATATATATATATATATATATATATATATATATATTATTTTTGCTTCAGAGTGAGTCCCTTGATATTCGGTATCACAAAATTGTTCGTTTATAAGGTGGATATTGGTAGCAGTCTGGAGAAATGTCTGTTTCGGTTCGGTAGTGATAGTTTTGAAGTCGGGGTAGTAGTAATATTAGAAATAGGTCAAGGTCAATCTACTATGTTTTTCTCGGCCCTAAACAGGGTAGAAATATGATGCAGATGACCTCTTAACTACTTATTTACGTGTCATGCATGGATAGTTTCTCCGCGGTAGCGTATTTTGTTCTGTTCATCTCGACGCACCTTCTTCTCCTCGTTCAGAGGTGTCAGCTTACATTCTTTTGACCAGGCTCCGAGTTTCTGGTAGGAACTTTGGTTTCGGCTAACATCAAAAGTCTCTTTGTGTTAATTTTTTTGAATTGGCCAAAATTATTTTATTTTCCTGCGTTCCTTTGTTTTTTCATTTTTTTTTATGTCGGAAGTTATGCGTGGAGCCTCCCTGACTTTTGCTATTTTTCACTCGCAAATAAGTAGACTTTGATCCTGCAAACTTCTCGCGTTTTTCGATCGGGATCAGTCTTTTCTCCTTCTTCCTCTTTCGATTTGAGGGTTGCCTTCCCGTTAGTTGAGAGAAATATAGAAAGAGTAGTTTAAAGAAAGAAAGAAATAGTGAGATAAGTATTTTAAAGGAAAGTGCAATGCCTTATTTTGATTCTTTTTATTTTTATGTATATTTTATATTTCATTTTGTATCAGGACTCGCTACAATTGCTTATAATTAAACCAATTTAAAAGGTGTGTTTCAAAATAGCAAAAAAAAAAAAAAAAATAGGACATCTATTCAATTAGTACTACGGGACAATTTCGCATAATTAAACAATTGAAAGCTTTTATAATTTACACAAATATTATGACTAAAACCAGAAACTTCTTGGAGTCTTGACAAAGGTATTCAGAAATCTACTTGACTAAACATGAACAAATGTTCTTGCCAATATTAAGGGAAAAAAAATGGTGGGGGTGTTAAAACATCGTACTGGCGTAGTTTTAAATAAAACTTCACATAGAGTTAAACACTTTTTATCCAACGATGGATTTCAATCTAAAATACAACGAAAAATATCAAGAGCAAACTGGCAAATTTGAACCAATTTTGCTGCATTTCGGACATCACAGAATGAAAGCCAGAACTTCGGCAACAAAAGAAAATTGACATATATCGGTGCTATTCAATACAAAGCGGTTTCCATATTTACACCTCTGGCTTTATAAGCGTAAAACACTTTCAGGTGGCCAAAACTGTGTCCTTATTAAATCTTCCTTCTTCTTTTTTTTCAGATTCAATGCAATATTTATTCCATGAGGGGCCCATGTTTTTACAAATGATCTTTTTTACGTGTCTAGATTCTTATTTACTTAATACGGCACAAATCAAATAGAAAGATGAAGATTGTGTTGTGTCAAGAATCCAAAATAGGGAAGTCTTACCTGCTTCAAAATCGGAAGTTAAACACTAATTAATTTTGGATACTAAGCTCTGACACAATGGAAATTAGGAAACTGCTCAACACTCTAAATCGATATATATAGCTAGGTATTTATTTCTTTGAAATGTACTATTCGAAATCCAAGTTGTTGCGTCGAACGCGTTAGACATTATTCAGTTATCATGCGAATCCTTAGATGAAGGTATTAAAATGAATTTATTTCAATGACACTTTGCCAAAAAAACTAATTTAAATCATAGCGTTTTTCTCAATGGACGCCTACTTTCTTATCTGTATGGCGTTAAAACGACGAAAAAAAAGAAATCGTTTATTTGGAGTTTTGCCGCGAAACATTCGACATGCCAAAGATATTTGCGGCTTTTCAGTCGATGTTAACTGAAATATGACAAGATTTTGTATAGCAAGGCAAG